TCCATGCAGTTTTGCCTCATGAGACCATAAAACAGAGGTCTGGAGTGGATTCAGAGCTCTGGGAGATTAGGGAATAGCCATCTTTTTGTTCAAACAATGCTGTGGCCCACTGGTGGCTGACAGAGCTGGCAGCAGAGTCGGAGAGTAGCGAGGAGGTTGGGGAGGAACTTGGGCAAGTCTTGGAGGCTGAGGAAGGCTCAGGCGAGGGCTCTGCCTCGGAGGCAGGGATGGGGCCAGGGCAGGCTGGCAGTCATCAGCTGCCTTCAGACTCAGACAGCCGTGAGTCGGCGGAGTTTCTGGAACCGGTTCCCAGCCTGCACATGTGCAGGGCGACCAGAAGACAAGAGCAATTGAGAAAGCAGGGTCAACTCAGGAGTAAGGCAGAGATGATTGGCCCCTCCCTTAGGAAATAAAAGAGGAGTGAATGGGAGGTGAGCTTTTGCAGGAAGCAATTAGTTTGTCTGGTTGATTCAAGCTTTGAAAAGTTCTGTTTGACTCTGTGTCAAGTTTGGCCTTGCCCTTCATTTGGCAATTAGTTCTCTGGCAGCATCCCAAGTGTGATAAGGTGGGTGCTTATAAACATCCCCCTGAAAGACTGTTTGTGAAGCCTTGCAGGCTGTGAATGAACATAACTCACAGCTGTGGAAATAAAAGAGGTTTTGCCAGGACTAAGATTGTGTTTTATGCTTTCTAAGGAAGCCTAGGTCAGAACAAACAACAATTGGCACCTTCTAAAGGACACTGGATTCACATACTTACTTCTCTATTGATTTTTGTAAATTGCTTGTTAATTGTTGTGCCATAGAGGGACACTGGTTAGAATACAGTATTGCAGGCTTATTCTGTCGACTGCCAGGAGTTCGATCGTGACTGGCTCAAGGTTGATTCAGCCTTCCATCCTTCCAAGGTTGGTAAAATGAAGACACACAGATTGCTAGGGCAATATGCTGATCCTGTAAACTGCTTAGAGAGGGCTGTAAAGCCCTATGGAGCAGTGATATACTATAGGTCTAAGTGCTAGTGCTAGTGCCAGTGCTTTTTAGCTATTGGAAACCTTCGGATTGACAGGTTTTACATCACTCAGTGAATTTCCTTCAATCTTTAGTGAAAGAAATTTAAATTTGACTTATTAATGTAGAATAAAGCAGATATTTTTGAACAAAGGACTCTGAAGATAATGTAAGACAGCGTTTAAAAGATGTTATGGAAGAAGAACAAGTTTTGCCAGGCAAGATTGAGATTGATCTGAAAGTGGATTTAAAGATGCCAGGCTACAAGAATGATGTAGAAAAGTTGTTGCACTGAACATACAAAAGAAACCAGCTGATGTCTGAGTAATTAAAAAGGATATACAAATAACAAGTCACCTGAGTAATTTTCCTATATTGAACTCAACAAGAAACTTCTTAAACCTTTGAAGAATTTTGTGAGATAGGACAGGGGAAAAATGAAGAGAAATCGTTCTGGGACATTATTTGAAGGGACTAAAGATCAAGGCTGTTAAAAGTAAAAAGGAAGGAATATAAAGTTGGTTCATTTGATCAAGGTTAAAATAGATATGTTGTTGTCTCTGGTAAGCCTTATTGAAATTTTGCTGACCAGGAATAAGTGACATGGCTTTATGGGTTTGTTTATGGATAAGAAATGAGATATAGGAAGAAGAGATTCATTGGTAGAGAAGGTAAAAACCTATTTTTAATTTGTGGTGAAGGTGGAAGTTTTTCTTTATGTATTTTTTTTCTTTACTATATTCTTTTTTCTTTTCTGTTTTTCTTTCTATGTTTTTCTTTTCTGCAGAAAGAAAAAAAAAGAAACTTGGAAAGGAATAAAACCAAAAAAAGAATGCTTGGAAGAAAGAGAAAAAGCTCCAGTTACTCTCAAATCCCTCTAGACCTTCTTTCAATCAAGGTTCCTGAAGAGGTTTTCAAAAGGAAGAGGCAGCTGTATCCTGCTGTTTGAGTGAGTTTGGAAAAGAAAACAATCTCCTAACTCCGTTGAATACATAAAAAAAATAAGAGCCCTGAATAAATAAGTACATAACAACTTCATATAGCCCGGCTCTCTTACTTACTTTTTTTCAACCTTAGAACAAATGTTTGTACTACAGTTCCCATCATTCCTCAGTCCTGCAGACATTCCTGGAGTGCTGATTGAGCAGGGTCGTAATCAGCTAACCATACAGCCCCAAGTTTAGGAGAACTACTCAATGGTAACAAGAAGGACAACTGCTTCTGACCATAGAGAAGCTCTGTGAGAAGCTCATAGCTTTCCATCCTAAATTCTTAATCTTTATAGCAAGAAAGCCCACTGAGTAATTTCTACCCCAAAGAAATGTTTTATCCTCAACTTGCTATCTGATCAGAGGATGGACTTGAGTTTGGGGTAATCCACAACTTGGAGTCCTTCAGATGTTTTAAACTTTTAACCCTTGTTAGGCAACGAACTGTGGAAGTTGTAGTTGAAACACAGCTTATTCTGAGTCAAGAGAAGAAGAAGAAGAAGAAGAAGAAGAAGAAGAAGAAGAAGAAGAAGAAG